GGGAGGGGAAGTCCCCGGCCGGCGGCTGGGGTCCGGAGGCAAGGGGGCTGCCTGAAGCCCATAGCGCTCGGGCAGCTTGGCTCTTAAACAGAGCCAAAGAGTCAGGGGAGGAGCAGAGCAGCCGCGGGAGGGGAAGTGCCTGGACGGCATTTTCCCGGACATGTTCGGCTTTTTGGCAATTCCCCCCGGATGGGGGTTTGATTGCCGAAAAGCCGGACATGTCTGGGAAAAACCGGATGTAGGGTAACCCTATTATTGATAAGCTCTGTTGCACGCATGCTTTGGTGCAGGGATTTGAAAATTGGCAAGGGAGATTCCCTGGAGAAAAACTGCCCAAATGGGTCAACTTAAAAACCTTTGAAAAATCTTGACTCTCACGTGCTCAGTAGAGACTTGATTACTTAGAGCACAAATTTGTCCAAAGGTTCTGCCTCTTCTGAGCATACTCCAGCCCATGACTGTAGGGGCTGAGCAGGACTTCGCGTGCAATGGCTGCTGCCAGGGGCCTCTGAGCACCGGAACTGAGAGCAGGGAGACTGTCCTGTGCTCTAAGTACTCCTTTTTCTGTCTCCCAAGTAGCATGGAGAAGGAAACAGTCTGACCCAAATTCAGCTGAGGGACAAGAGCCAGTCCTGGGGAACAGAGAAGAGAGTAGTTTGGAATAAGGAGCCTGTGGGGATGAGGGGGGAGACTGACTGAAATTTTGGGGGGAGGGGGGAGACACTGAGAGCCAGTGGCTTGGGGAGAAGAATGAAGAGGAGCCTGAGGTTAGGAGACAGGATGGGGACAAGGATAGGTTAGAGGGGACAGAGTAGAAGGGGTAATGCTTGCAGCCGGAGGGGTTGGACAATAGTTTGTGACCATTAAAGCACACTCCTACAAAACCTGGACTTGGACCCAAAATTCCAGAGATTCTTCATTTGTCTGCTGTCAGCAAAATCTGTGAAGCCCACTGGCAAAATATCTCATCGCCCTAGTGCTTGTCGACATAGAGAATGACAACCTACTACTGCTATCATTAGGTCAAGTGGCAGAGGTCTGTGTGGTAGATCTAAAAGTTTAAAGCTGATGAAATGTCTGGCTATCAATGTGATGCTACATGATGACATTTCTTTTACACTTTGCTTTTTTAAAAGCCTAGGAAATTACACATACATTAAATTAAAAGTTAAGGTTGCAAAGTCAATCAATCATGTTAGAAATTACTCTTTCTGTGTATGTGTTATGTATGATACAGTCTTTTGTTACATGGTCAAATACTATTTTTTCCATGGGATCCCTCCCTCATTCAGTGCATGGACGATGCTCACTAAATGAGACATTATTTAACATTTTGTTTTCTCATCCATCCGTGTGTGGTTTCCAGGCCTTATTTATTGCACACCATTCAAACCTTGCCATGAAGACAGAATTACTAATTTCCACCCCTCAGCTGCTTGTCCCAGTTTTCTTGCCTACCCAGTCCCAGTCTCCTTGTCTGCCCCTACAACTTTGCCAGCTCCCAGTACCAGTAAACCCCCTCCATTGCCATGCCCAGGTCAATGCTTTGTCTTTTCTGCATTCCAGTCAGGCAGTTTCTACCTCCTCACTGCCTGGGTGCCAGCAATGGAAGCATTGAGAGCACAGGGGAGAGATTCTCAGCTCTTAGTTCTGATGCCTGGCCCCACAACAGTCCCCAGCAACTGGCAGTAGCAACTGCAAACAAGTCTTGCTTAGCCTCTGCAACCCTGATCTGGAGCATGCTCAGTACAGACAGAATCTTCATATAATTAGGTTCTAAACTCTAACCAGTCTCTACTAAGCACAGGCAAAGAGATTTTTCAGAGGTTTATAACTTGATCAAATTGTGGTCAGTTTGTGGTCAGGAACAGCAAAAGGCCTATCCTTGACACCAGAGTCGTCACCCCTTCCTCCCCCCCGGTCCCCTCTCCACCCACCCACCTTTTCCAATTTCACGCTCTTCCTTCAAAGGCTGGAGGTGCAAGAGCTTCTCAAACACAACGGTTATACAGTTTTTAACTGGGCAAGGGGAGGGCGTAGGGGGAATGACATTTTTCCCTAGTCTCAGTAACAGCTGAACCCTTTTTGCTGAAACCTTCCAAACAAATTCAGTCTAAGGGAGACACGCGGCAGGGAGAATTTCAGCCCAAATGGTTAGTTTGGCAAAGTTTTATAAACTCCTGAGAACAGTGTCTTATAGTGGGATGTGTTGGGCAATTTTAATCATAGGCATTCCTATCAACTCCACCTATAATAGTTCATAAGTCAGAATTTATCTGGTTGGAAAGAAATTCAAATTCCAAACCATTGTCTTTTACTTTTAAAGGCTGGCTTTCATCCTAGAGATGCTTGTTTAAAAAGTGTTATAGGTAACTACATCTAACAGTTCTTGTATTAAATTAAGTTTGTTTGGGAGTAAGAGCTCTCTCTTCAACAGCTCTTGCCTTCATTGTGTGATGATGCCCTGATAGCAGCAGAAACAGGCAGATTCCCAGCAGTTATGTAATACATACTTGTATCCATTGTCAATATTGCAAACAAACTCTGTAAGAAATATTGTATGTCTGTTTTCCTGTGTAGAATGAGGAGTTGAGGAAATTGACGCGTTTAATAGGAACATGGATAATGTGCTTAAAGGCACATGTTCAGGGCACTGTAAACGCCCCCCCCTCCCCCGAGTCAACTTCTTTCTATTTGATAGCTAGTAGATTGCCCTAGGCACTAAAGATTTTTGTGGCTCTCTAAGGGCCCATCTAAAACCACCAACATAGTAGATTGGATCTCTGGCTAAAGGTCCCACAGTTATCATGGAAAACGTACATACCTCAAAGTTATAGACTTTCATGCAGGTTTTATTCCCTCTGCTGAGGCACTTTCTGTATAGCTTCACCTGGTCACGTGACCAATCTTCAGCTGTAGTCCTGGTCGATTAATGCAGGTGAAAATCTTCACTTGAACTTTTCTTTTGAAAGGTGAATTGTTTACATTAAAAATGCTGGTATTTTAAGTAGTAAAGTAATCTAGCCTTATCTCAACCAGCCTGGTTGTATGACAGCGTTCTCTCCAGATATATGGGTTCAGTTGCCCAAGTCTGGAACTGGAAGTGCTTGAATAGAATTAAATGTTCGCTCTTTCTCAGGATCAGTATGACATGCTGCCAGCTCACATTGTTGCTTCCAGACCAAAGAATGCACCTCAGGATGTTGAATTGAATGCTGAAGACTTTATAGTTGACGTAAGTGTGTCCTTTCATAGCAAACTTAGTGTAAAACATACTGTCTTCATTTCTGTATCACAAAGGGCCAAGTGTACCATGCAAAAGTTTGCACGTAAAGCTGAGTACACTTTATATTCAAAATAAGAAAGCAGTGTGTCCAATTCAGGGACATTATAAGGCATAAGGTAACCCTCAGTGCATTCCCATCCCTGCGTGGAGTATGCAGTTGGTATCTGGTGCCTAGCAGTTTCCCTGTATGTGTTAATCCTGAAGCCTATAGATCAAGGGTTCTCCATTTTTTTTCATAATGTGGATCAGGTGTTAAAAGATTATCTCGTGGACACCTCTCTTCCCAGGGATTGCATGGACCATTTCACTCTTCAGTTTGTCATCATGTAACATCCCTGTGGCAATGGAAAAGTAATGTTAGGAAAACATTTAGTTACTTTTTTTAGCTGTTCCATTGCTGGCTTTGCTCCTGTGGTGGTAGACTTGCACTTTGGTGGGTGGGTGTGTGTGTGTGTGTGGGGGGGGGAAGGGGATGGGATAGTTTCCTCCTGGAATATTTAGACCTTGAAAATGGATAGCTACCAAAGACTGAAACAAAGACAATGTAACTGAAGTATTACATCTGCAAGTAGAAAGAGACTGAAGCATTCCTTATCCCTTGGGTTGTGCAATGTCCAGACACATCTTTGTGACTGGAATATGTCTTCCTATAAGCCATTATTCCTGCAGACAGGCAGTGTGACCTTGGTCAAGACTCTTTCAGAGCAGCTCTACTTGGAAAAGTTAACTTTGCTTAAAAAAAAAATTAGGGTTTAACATTTGTTTTTCCATATCCTATTTACTGCGTTTGCACGTAAAATGTGTCATGTAACGGCCAGTCCTGCAACCAGAGGTCTTCCTGCTCTATGCATTTCCACCAGTACTAAAGGTTCTGCAAGCCAGTTGCTGCCCTCCAGCACACTGATGTAATCCCATTGTCCTCAAATTGTCTTAAATTTACATCTGAGTCATTGGAAAAAGGGAAATGCTTCTCTGCGAGTATTTCACTGCTGAAATTGATTTGGTCTCTCCTCTCGCCTTCTGTGCCTATTCCTCTCCACCCTAAAAATTCTGTTTTCTTAATTCAGATATTCTGGAAAGCAAACAGGAAAATTATATGTACTGGATGGAGGAAGCACTGGTGTGTTAAAATTGTCTTGGTTCAACTGCCAAAAATATTCTAGTGGCAGCACTGTCAAGTTATCAAGGCAAAATTAAAATTTAAGGGCTACCAGTACATATAGACAGATCTGAAGCATGTCTGAAATGTAACTTGTAAATCACTTTAGATTTCTCTCAACTCTGTTTGCTGGATGCCTCTCTGATTGCAGGTCACTTTTAAGGTGATACAAATTTCTTGAAGCTCATCACATCGGTGAAACTAATTTCATGAAACAATTGAGACAAATTTTAGTTTTTTCATAAAGATTAACTATTGTAGTTAACTCCAATTATTTTAGAATAATCCTTGCTATTTTCTAACTACTAATAATTATAGTGTCTGTTTTGTTAGAATCTTGGTAATCTCAAGTCTAGAAAGCTACCCAAAAATATGTTGTATTCTTTGAGTGCTTGCTCATGTCGATTCCATTCTAGGTGTGCACGTGCCCATCTGCACGGTCGCTGAAGATTTTTGCCTTAGCAGTATCTGTATGATCGGCTGTGGCACCCCCTTGAGTGCCATGTTCATGCGTCGGTATGTCAGGTGCGGGCATCCCTACGCCCTCTCAGTTCCTTGTGACCACCCATGATGGTTAGTTGGGGTGCCTTTCCTTGCATAGCAAGGGCTAGCGATTTTGTCTCTTCTGACTTCGAGCTGTAGGGCCTTGTAAATAGTTTGTTTATAGTAGTTAGTGTTAAGTAGTTGTTAAGTGTAGTTAGAATTTAGAGTCCCAGCAGGGACTTCACCCCAGGCGGGGCGTGTCCCAGTCTCTGGAGCTTAAGCCCTGTGTGGACTATAACAGGCCTATTCCTATAAGTGACCCCCACAGCAGCTGCCTCAAGTGCTTGGGCGAATCACATGTGAAGGACAAGTGTCGTATTTGTAAAAATTTTCTACCCAGGACTCAGAGCAGTATATTTGTTTGCAGGCTCTCCTCATGGAGGCTGCTCTCCACCTGGCTTCTGAGCCTTCCTGCCAAGACTCACCTAATACCTCGGCCTCAGTGCACAGTGCACCCCCAGCACTGGTGCCCAAAAAGAAAAAAAGAAGGAATGGCTCCCTGGCACTGGGCAAGAAGGGCCATGGGACATCGGGCAAAGGACCCACTTCTGGCCACCCGGCAACTCTGGAGCCACATGTATGTGCCTCCCTGGTTGGGCCCTTAGCCGCTTAAAAGTTCCACCACCAACTCCTGGGAGTGATAGGGGACCCAAACTCCTGACAGCATCAATGCCTTCCCAAGCTCCCCTGGCGCCAAGAGAGCAGAGACGTCCGCCCATGCCACCAGCACCGCATGTGCTGGAGGAAACAGCGAAGGCTCCCTATAAAGGCAAGCCAGCCGCTAAGACCCCTCAGGGGGCAGTGGAGCGCCACCAATTCCCCGAGAAAAGGCAGCACTCTCCTCCTCTCGCCCCAGATCTCTGGAGTTGTAGCCAAGCTCCTCTGAGGCTCGCCCTCAGTCACCGCAATCGCAGTCTCCGCCGTCTCAATGCAGATTGCCTAAGGGGAGGTGCAAGTCCCCTTACTACTGGCACCGTTCGCCCTCCCCTGGTTGTCCTCTCGCTGCCGATCTTGGTTGCCTGTCCCTTGGGAGCGCTCCCTGTCACAACTCCGGTCCCCTCGATATCGGCACCGATCCCCTTACTCCAGGCACCGGTCTCTGGTGGCAACAGTCAGCAGGCAGATGCAGGCATCAATGGTTCCACCATGGTCACCGGAAGAGGATTCCTCTGGCACGGAAGGGCAGTTCAGCCCCTCGCCCAGACTCCACCAGCGCGATTGGGCACGAGAGGCCACGTCGACATCGGCACCACATTGGCAGTATAGCCAGTGGCCAGCACAACAGTGGCCTTATTGGAGTGCATGGGGCGTGCCAGTCATGACGATGCCCCTTTCGCACTGCTCATCTGCTGCTGCCTCGGAGCAACAGTTTGCAGCACCGACCAGGATGTGACAGGGTCCTCAAAATTGCCAAGGCCTCTGGCAAACCCCGTCTTCTAGCTCTCCCAACTCCAAAAGGGTTGAAAAGAAGTACTTTGTCCCAGCCAAAGGGTTTGAGTACCTTTATACCCACCCTCCTCCAGGCTCGCTGGTGGTCTCTGTGGCCAACGAAAAAGATAAGCAGGGGCACACCAGCTCAACTACCAAAAATAGAGGCCAAAAGACTGGACCTTTTTTGGAGAAAAATGTATTCCACTGCAAGGCTGCAATTCCGGGTGGCAAACCATCAGGCCCTCTTGGGCAGATACAATTTTAACTTATGGGACTCCCTCTGTAAGTTCAAGGAGTCCCTCCTGCAGGGTTTGGCTCAAGATTCAGAACCCTGGTACAGGAGGGCATGGCGGCAGCTATGTGCTCCCTCCAAATGGTGTGGGATGCAGCAGACTCAGCAGTTAGGGTGGTCGTGGCGGCAGTGGTTATGAGGTGCAGCTTCTGGCTTCAAACCGCCAGTCTTTCCCTAGAGATGCAGCCCACGATTTAGGTCCTTCCGTTCGCTGGGAACGGTCTCTTCTCCAAATAGACGCATGCAAGGCTGCATGGGTTAAAGGACACTCGGGCCATCCTTCGCTCACTGGTCATACATATGCCGCAGTCTTCACAGAAGCAGTTCCAGCTGCCCCTGCCACCAAGACCTTGGCAGCCTTGATGGGTCTGCAAGGAGAAGGGATAGAGACACAAGTTTTAGTCCTCGCTGCCCTTCCTCCTTCTATCGCGCAGCCCGGCCTGGCAAAGCAGCACAGGGGGTCAGAAGCGCTCGTTTTGAAGGAGCTCTTGAGAGTGATGCCTTGGTCAGTTTTCCAGATCCACCTTGTTCTTTCCTCCACCATCTTTGTCCCTACCATTCGGTCTTGTCGTGAGTCACCTCGGACCGCTGGGTGCAGGACATAGTATCTCGGGGCTATACCCTGCAATTTTTGGCTGCCCCTCCCTCCCACCCCCACTCTTCCCCCAACTCTCTTCAGGGACCCTTCCCACGAGCAACTCCTTGTTCAAGAGGTTGAGAACCTCCTGCGCCTGGGGCGGTGGAGGAGGTCTCTCAGGACATGAAAGGAAAAGGGTTTTACTCCCGCTACTTATTAATCCCCAAGGCAAAAGGGGGCCTCAGATCCATCTTGGACCTGCGTCGCCTCAACAAGTCTCTCAAAAAGCTGAAGTTTCATATGGTCTCCCTGGCCTCCATCATCCCCTCCGCGGATCTGGGAGACTGGTATGCTGCCCTCGATTTAAAGGACGCTTATTTCCATATTCCCAGGTCACAGGCGCCTCCTCAGTTTCATAGTGGGCGGACGCCATTTTCAATTCACAGTACTAGCCTTTGGCCTCTGATCGGCCCCAAGGGTGTTCACAAAACATATGGTGCCAGTGGCTGCTTACCTGAGATGTCGAGGGGTCCAGGTCTTCCTATGTCTCAACCACTGGTTCATCAAGGGCCCATCTCATGAGCAAGTGCAGAGGAGCCTTAATCTGGTGCGTTCCACCTGCCGCGACCTGGGCCTGTTAATAAACAAGAAAAAAATCCATCTTAACGCCCGTCCAGCGAGTAGAGTTCATTGGGGTGGTTCTCAACTCCATGCGAGCCAGAGCCTGCCTTCCAGGAGCGCGTTTTCAGGCCATGTCAGATAGACCTGATCTCCCATGTAAAGAACCACCTGCTCACCATGGTTCATACCTTCCTGCGGCTGTTGGGCCACATGGCCGCATGTACATACATGGTCAGCCATGCTCGACTTCATCTTCGGCCCCTGCAAGTGTGGCTGGCATCCGTCTACATTCCCAACAGGCACAACCTGAACTGGATAGTCTGGGTGCCGAACCACATCAGGTCGTCCCTGAATTGGTGGTTGGACCTCAGGTTGGTGTTGGGAGTCCCCTTTGCGACCCCGTCTCTGATGCTTCAGACCTGGGTTGGGGAGCCCACCTGGGCGAGCTGAGCTCCCAGGGCCACTGGTTGTGGTACGATCTGGCCCTCCATATCAACATTAGGGAACTCAGAGCGGTTTGCCTGGCCTGCCAGGCTTTCTTGCCTCACCTGAGGAGCAAGATGATGCATGCAGGTCCTGATGGACAATACCGCCGCAATGTATTACATCAACAGGCAGGGCAGTGCCAGGTCTTCGGCCCTTTGTCAAGAAGCTCTCTGCTCTTGGGACTTTTATGTGTGGCATGCCATTCATCCGGTAGCCGCGCACCTGCCTGGAACCAGGAACGTCCTGGGGGATCACCTCAGCAGGACTTTCTCATCTCGCCACAAGTGGTCACTTCATCCGGAGGTGGTCAGCATAATCTTCCAGAGGCTGGGGGACTCCCCAGGCACACTTGCTCGTGTCCAGGCAGAACAGAAAATGACACGTGTTCTGTTCGATCTGGGGAATGGAAAGGGGCTCCCTGTCGGATGCCTTTCTCATCCCATGGTTGGGGGCGCTGATGTATGCCTTCCCGCCAGTGCCATTGAGTCACAGGGTCCTTATGAAGATCAAGCAAGGCAGGGCGAGAATTATCCTAATAGCCCTCACGTGGCCTCTCCAGCACTGGTTCGGCATGCTGCTGAACCTTTCAGTAGCCGTCCCTCTGGCCGGATCTGCTGTCACAGAACCACAGTAGCCTTTTGCAGCCGAACCTGGCGGCACTACACTTGACGGCTTGGCTGCTGCATGGCTAAGCATGAACGAACAGCCATGCTTGGGCTGTGTCCAGGAGGTCTTGCTGGGTAGCAGGAAACCCTCCACCAGAGCGACTTATCTGGCCAAATGGAAAAGATTCATATGCTGGGTCTCGGAATGGCATATTTGGGCCGAGCAGGACCCGCTGCAGGAGATACTGGATTATCTGCTGCACCTCAAACTCCAAGGCTTGTCCCTGTCATCGATTAAGGTCCACCTAGCTGATATCTCGGCTTTCCATCCTCTGTTCCAAGGCTCACAACATGACGGCATGGTCCCTCACCCAGAACCCAAATCTCATGCTGTTGAGGCTCATGGGGTCTCTCTTTCAGGCTCCGGCTCCCTGCTTCTCTCGTGGAAGGTCTTGTTCCTGGTTGCCATAACGTCGGCCCACAGGGTGTGCGAGATCAGGGCACTTATTTTGGAGCCGCCCTATACGGCCTTCTACAAGGATACGGTCCAGCTGTGACTGCACCCAGTGTTTCTGCCCAAGGTCGTTTCCCAGTTTCATACTGGCCAGGACATGTATTTACCTGTCTTCATTCCAAAGCCTCATATGTCTGATGAGGAGCGCAGGCTATACACCCTGGACATCAGAAGGATGCTGGCCTTCAACATAGATAGAACAAAGCTGTTCCGTAAGTCAATGCAGTTGTTCGTTGCGGTGGCGGACAGAATGAAGGGTTGCCCAGCGTCTGCTCAGAGGTTTTCGTCCTGGATCATGGCCAGCATCCGCTACTGTTACGAGCTGGCGAAAGTGCCTGCGATCGTAGCGCCACACTCGACTAGGGCACAGGTGTCATCAGTGGCCTTCCTGGTGCAGGTACCAATCCAAGAGATGTGTAGAACCGCTACCTGGTCGTCTGTCCACGTGCTCACGTCTCATACGCTTACCCAGCAAGCTCGAGACATCGCTGGCTTTGGCAGAGCAATGCTGCAACCTGCAAGACCGTGAACTCTGAGCCCACTTCTATTGATACTGCTTGTGAGTCACCTAGAATGGAATCGACATGAGCAAGCACTCGAAACAAAAGAGGTGGGCACCATTTTTTCTTCCAGTGTTTTTTTCGAGATGTGTTGCTCATGTCCATTCCATTCCCCGCCCTCCTGCCCCTCTGTCAGAGTTGCTGGCAAGAAGGAACTGAGAGGACATAAGGCCAACGGCTCCTGATATACTGATGCATGAGCGCAGCACTCAAGGGGGCACCACAGCTGGCGCTACGGATACTGCTATGGCAAAAATCTCTGACCGCGCATATGGGTGCACGCACACCTAGAATGGAATGGAGCAACATCTCGAAGAACCACAGTTACAAAAAAGGTGGGTAACCATTTTTTTGTTCATCTGTATCCATTTCTGAATTGTCTCCATCAAGGTTATCAATATGGACTATGGAATGAAAGAACAGAACCCTATCGATAAAGTTCGTTTCTATTGCAAGTCTGACCCGAGCCAGGCAGTCAAGATTTCGAAAGAACAGGTAGCTATCGCTTTGCCAAAGGCCTTACCAAACATGCTTCTGAAGGAAATTTTCATATAACAGGTTGTGGAAGCACTTCTGTGCAATAACGTGGTGGTGGGGTACAGTTTTACCAGAATTCAGAATCTTAGTATTTAACACAGTCCATCCAAAATCCATTCCTCATTATCTTCAGATTGACTAATTTTTCCAGTCAAACTCCCTAACTTTGTGGTACGCATTATGCTTTATAATGAGAAGTTACATTTTTCTACCTGTATTTGGAAATATTTTGAAGTTCATTGATTGGTTGGCTCTAGATTCCAAGAAACACAGTACAATTTCTTTTCCTCTATTCAAAAGGTTTCCAGGCTTCTGCCAGAGACATTTGCAGAGCAGCTGATCCGGGTTTATTGCAAGAAAAAGGATGAGAAGAGTTTAGATGCTGCAACAAAGTGTTTTATTCAGTGGTGTATGAACATGGATTTTACAAAACCACAGGTACGTCCTACCTAATAAATACCCTACACACAGATTCATCCATTCCCAGGCCAAAAGGGACCATTGTGATCATCTAGTCTGACCTCCTGTACAACACAGGCCAGAGAACTTGCCCCCAAAAGTCCCTACTCCTGGAGCGTCTCACCTTGGCACATGGATTTGGGACCTTCAAAATCTGTGCATTGTTAGGGATTTTTACTTGTAAGGCCATGTCTACACAGGAATGCTGCATGTTCTAACCAAAGCAGTGAGCTTAAACCAATGCAAACCCGTGTGGACACTCTTAATTCAGTTTAAGGGTAGCTTTTATCATAAGCTGATTGGGAACAGGTTTAAACTGAACTGAAGTGAGACACTTTTATCCTGAAATAAGCGCATCCACCCAAGGGGTTTGCATCGGTTTTGGTAACTGGTGCAAGTTTTGTTTGTAGACCAGCCCTAAACCACCACGGTGGGGCTCAATGGCATCTCTTTAAGGAATCACTCAGACCAGTTCCTCCTGCTTGTCCCAGGCCTCTAAAGCTTCCTGTTTCCCCAGGAGAATTTAATTTGTGGGGGTTTTTTGATGATCTTTTATAGACTCCTGTTCAGGAGCCCCAATCTCCTGGGGAAACAAGGCAACATGAACAGGAAGAGGGTAGAGACCCTCCAAACATTCCTGGTTTCGAAGGTTCCCTGCTGCTGTATGTGGGTAGAGCCTGTTGCCCCTGCTGCCTGTCAGACCCCAGAGCATAGATACCACAGGGCATGATGGGGATGGAACCCACTGTAGCTCCTTTATGGAATTTTGGCTTTTGCAATGGGGACAGGGTCAGAGCCACCTCTGTGGTCCCAGCTCTTGGGGATGTTCAGCCAGTTGGTCAAAAACAGTCCCTGAGAGAGACGGAACGTGATCCTGAAGGAAATAGGAACCTCGGACTCCTGCTGGGGCGGCACCTGTAATATCAATAGAGCTAAATTGGCATTTCTGTGGTATGGCTGAGACAGCATCGCTGCCCCTGGCCTACCCCTCCTCTATCATTTCTCCCACTAAACTTGTTTCTTTGAGCTGATATAATTATTTATGTCCATCACTATAGCAGAGCAGTTAATATGATGGAAGCAAATGAGATTTTTGCCATTATAAATAAAATGAGAATGTAAATTAGGTATTTCACATTTATTAAATATACAAATCGTTGCATTGAACCTCTAGTTTTCTGGAGTAAGCCTTAGTAGGTGTGACTTGTCCATCAAGTTGGGTGCGGACAGTGTGATAAGATGTCTTTTTTCCAGCAATTAAAGGTTTTCTCTTAGCAGTTGGTTTTGAATGCTAATAATTCATCTGTATTTAGTATTAAACTGCCCCTCTTTCTGTATCTGCTCTTTCAGGTCTAGATGTTTTCTCAGATACCTTTCCCTGCATGAAATGTAGTCTGGAGGAGCTCTGAGAGAAACGTGCTCACATCACAAATCAGTTTCATGTCCTTTAATAAAAAATGTAGAGCTTTAAATCCCTTCAGTGTGACCAAGCATAATACCTTGTATTGCGCATTTTTAAAACTAGTGTGCTAGGCCCCAGGGCTTGTTTTCCAGGGGTGCTGAGTACCCACAGCTAATCTCGGCGGTCGCTCAATACCTCCAGAAATCCAACCACTGCAGTATGGTTTCCACAGGCATGATCTGCAACCATGGGCATGTGAGTCACCTTAGGGCTCATCCTTTTGTAACAGTTCTGGGTTCTGAGAGCAAAACAGAGTTAATTTCTCCAGTGTGCTTTGCACGTGAGATTGATAAAAAGCTTTCCCTGTTTCTATTAACATCCCTATGTAATATCAATTTCATCATGCAACCAGCTTTACAACCACCACACCAGTTCATTTCACCATAGTAATGTGTCTTAACAGGTGAAACATGGCCAAGTCTGTAAAACTGAATGTGGGTAATCCATGCCACAGGTATGCCACGGGTCCTCAGCACTTCGTTGTGGCAGTGTTGGACAGTTGAATTTCAGATGGACAGTGGGATGGTTACTGGGCTCACTCTTCAGAGTGGTAACCGTGTTAGTCTGTATCAACAAAAAGAACGAGGAGAACTTGTGGCACCTTAGAGACTAACAAATTTATTTGGGTTTTAGCCCACGAAAGCTTATGCCCAAATAAATTTGTTAGGCTAGGTCTACACTAGGGAGGGGGGGGTCAACCTAAGATATGCAACTTCAGCTACGCGAATAGCGTAGCTGACATCGGCGTATCTTAGGTCGATTTACCTTGCCGTGAGGACGGCGGCTAGTCGACCGCTGCCACTCCCCCGTCGACTCTGCTTCCGCCTCTCGTTGTGGTGGAGTTCCGGAGTTGACAGCAGAGCAATCGGGGATCGATTTTGTTGCGTCTGCTCTAGACACGATAAATCGATCCCCGATAGATTGATCACTACCCGCCAATCTGGCGGGTAGTGTACATGTACCCTTAGTCTCTAAGGTGCCACAAGTGTTAGCCTCTTTGGGCTCACTTTGTGTGATAATACACTAAGTATTTTCTGGCTCACCTACTTCCTGGATTTTTGGTGACTAAGCTTTGGGAACCAGCTGAACAACTTGGGTACGTTTGTACAGAGTTCTTACCTACAAAGTTTTCAGTCATTGATAATGACCCTTTTATGGCTCAGTTCTCATCCTTTCTATTCATAAGCCTAAAATTGAGCTGCTTGTTTTGTTCTGTTTGTACAGCACCTAGCACCAACTAGTCCTGGTTCCTACAGTAAGACAAATAAAGTAAGAATATGCTTGTAAAACTCGGCAACTTTTTCTCAACTTCCTTTCAATGACTTTCTAGGATGGTGATGTGGTCGCCCCTGAACTAACTCCAATGAAAGCAAGCTGGAATGACCCTGATGAGGATGAACTGCAAAGTCCAAATGATTGCAGGGAAGCTTCAAAATCCAGAACTAGACTCTTTCAATAACCGATTTGTTAAATGGAGTTTATTTGCCATATTTAAAGTCTTTCCAGTAACAGTTTTGCGCTGTCCCTTCTATCCCTTTAAAAGATACTTGAAAGGGAACAGCACATTGTATAAAACCTACTTGAAGAGCTTTACAGAACAAGTTTACAAGAATGCATTTTTTTAGGTTGCTGTATGTTTCCTGTATGTAACATAGTGATTTAAAAGCCCTGCGAGCATTGACATTCAAAGGGGAATTTTATATGTGATCAGTGATTACTTGCAGCAGAGCAAACACTGTGTTTGACTTGAATGTATGGGGGCTGTGTAGCAAGAGTTCCTTTAAAAATGAAGGCTTTTGAAATACCCCAAACTTCCATAAAATTCCCAAAGGAAATCAATATTTTGCCGTTGTTGTAGTGTAGCTAGCATTGCACTTCAGCACAATTTTGACTTTTTCCTAAAATCAGAGAAGTGTGAGCAGCAAGTGCCCAGCTCCCTTTACTGGGACAAATGACATAGATAAAAGAGTACAGATCTTTCCCATTTTTTTTTCCTGTGTCCCCTATTTCAGATCCCTTTCTTTTAAGATAATCATGATGTCACATGTTCTGACAGAGCAAAGCCTATAGCTCAGATTTCTTAAGCCTTACTGAAGTGAAAAGTGTGTCAGTGAGGGGTGGTCTTTTTTTTTTTTAACACTGTTTTTTAGATTGTGTTTTTGTGGCTTTACAATCAGTTTTTCCTGCCATTTAAATGTTCTTTCCCCTGGTTCTTTTCATACAGCACAAATGGGGTGGGAACCAGATTTGACTACTGACAAATGGCCTTCCAATACAAAGGGCAAACAAACTAGGCAGATTTTTCCTCCAAACAAATTAAGTAAAAAAAATCTTCATACAGAAATGGGATTTTTAAGTTGCTTGTGTCCTTTTTTTAAAGTAGTACCTGAAACATGAAGAAAACAAACATGACCTCTTTTTCTGAATCTTTGACTTTAGAAGTCAGATGTTAGTCACTAGTGGGTCTGAATACAAAATCAGTGCCATAAGAAGTCTTCATTGAGAGTCCAGTTTTGTTACCTGAGATTAATTAAACTGTCCCTTCTAGAGATGGCATCTGATAATCACCAGATGGAGGCAAGGGAATTGATCATGCCATAATTCTTCTGGTCTGCTGTTCTCTTAATATGCACAAGCCCATGTATTCACCAGAGGGGAGTGTTGTATAACCCCCCTTTTCAGTGCAGTACCAGTGATTCAGATCTACAGGTGTATGAAATGGCTGTTGTCAGAAATCTTCACTGACTTGGGAAGCATATCTCTAACAGTTCTGGAATAAGCCTTTTGTACTTGACTTCATCAAACTGAAAGAGTGAAACAATTGTGTTAAAATCCTGTGATTCAAGGCAACTTGAAACATTACATACAGAATAATGTATTCATTTCACAGCTGTCACTTCAACGTATTTGCTTATTTGAAACTATTTTAAAAGGTGTTCTGTAGAAAATCTTTTGCTTGAGAGAACCGTGCTCTTTGCTTTTGAAAGGTGAAACTTTATCTGTGAACTGGATCTAACAGTTCAAATTGACTGAGCCTGAGTTGACTGAAAAAGAATGTATACAAATATTTTAATACAACTTTTTAATGGAATTGCAGCGTGGATTGTTTGTATTAAAATCAATACTACAGTTAATGCACAGTTAAAATGAAAATTGCCAAATGCATTCTTAAAAGGACAGAGTTCATAGCTAAAGCAAGTCTGTTAGATAAGGGAGCCCAATTTTGAATGACTTTTTCCATCAATTTGCTGTGAGGCCCCTTTAGCTTTGGAAGATCTTCATGCTGGACGAGAGGCATTGGCTCTATTCCCAGTCCCTATAATAGAGCAGGAATAATTTTGGATTGGAGTCAAATTCAGGTTTAAGGCACCATGAAGGGTAAATAAGGATTCAGGCTAAGCAGAAGGCCAAGGAAGCAGTGTCATGTGCTGAGACATGTGGCAGGTTCCCAGAGCAGCCAGGTGGCAGACCGGTGCCTAGCATGATGTTACTGAAATGCTGTCACAATGTCATGATGGCTGAAAGTGACATCAAATTCTCAGCTATTGTAAGGCAGTAATAAGTAAAGATATAAATGCAGAGGAGATAACCAGCAACACTTTACCATCATATGCTACTGGTAGAGAACATTGTTTGACCTATAGACATGAAGATTGCATTTGAAGACTGGAGGGGAAGGGATGCTAATAGGCAGATAAGAAAGGGACTGGGAATCTGCCAAGGGGTTTTACATAAGTACCAAAGCTCCTTTCGAGAGTGTTGAATGTATCCAGTAATGGGGCCTCATCGCATTCCCTAGGTGTTGCATTTCATTGCCCAGTAAACCTCTCTGTGCTTCCCTTGCTCTGATCCCAGAGGGTTTGATTTGGATTCTTCTGCCTATTTCTTCAAGTTTTAAAAGCAACTCTGGTGTTTGAATATGTGGAGCCACACAGTCCTTGATAGACTACATCCATGACAGCCACCAACTCCTCATCTCTTGGGGTTCAGCTTGCTGTGAGGGGATCCAAATACTGAATCCCATGTGCTTTATGCCTCCAGAGTCTGTACAGAGTTCACAGCTGGGAGACAGCTGGCTGGAATCAGTGCTGCGGTTTCCAGCTAGCTCCAAGTCACCCTGGCTGTGGTGAGAAGCCTGATGCCATATCAAGCCAACAGCTCATCAGTGCTGCAGGTTCTCTGGGTCCACAGTGGCAGTCTCTGGGCATTGATGCCAGCCTTTAGGCTGGGTCTGAGCCACCATGCTCTGCTCAGGCCCTGCACTGCCCCATGACTTCATGGGAGGAGGATGCGGGAGGGATTTTGCTGTGGGATTTGTTTTGCCCTGTTACAGGGACAGGAGGCAGTGGCAGAGTTTGGACCTGAGCTCTCCTGCAACTTGGGGTGCTGGGATTGGGGCTTTGATTCAGGCCCATCTCCTTACAAGCAACAGAAAAACGTGTGTTCCTTGTGCCCCTTTTGTGTAGCTTTTCAGGCACCACCGATACTGGTCTTGGCCTAACTTCAATAAGCTTCTCTGAGAGCAGGGACGGGGAGGGGCCCTGGCCCTGGCCGTCACATCTCATGGAGCTCTAAATGCTGGCAGTGCCCAGCAAGCCCATGTCAATACCCTCATGCTGCCCCTGTTCTCTCTGCCTTGAAGGGGGAGTTGCCTCATTCACTGAACAACGGCTGAGCTCTCTTCCCAAGCTCATGGCACTGACTGGCAGAGCATGTCCCAGCAGGCAGCTCCCCTGCTGCTAACACTCAGTCGCTTCACATGGGAATTTTATTTTTAAATTGCCCAGTTGCCTGTGAGATTCCGTTTGCATTGAAATCCAGCGCTTGTGGGAGCCATCCACTGGGGCTGCTCTGATCCCCCACGGCAAGCGCACTGACGGGAAAATGGGTGGGAACGTCCCTGCTGCCCTCGCTGGAGCGTGAGTGTGGGCTGGGGAGGGGAGAGGAGCACAGGCTGGTAAAGCCCTGTGCGTAAGGGGAAGAGGGGCCGAGCTCCACCCTCTGGAAGGGTGCCAGGAACAGCTGCCAGGCCCAGCCAGAGTCCATTCGAAAGCAGTCAGTTCCCACGGGCCCCGGTGTGGTGGGCTCAGGTCAAGGCCCAAACCTCCAGGTCCCGAATGAAGAATTGCTCCTGGGGCGACAGGATTTCGTTGTCAAATGTCTCACATCGGTGACTTCCCCCATGGTACAGGTCCCCGTCCAGCCACAGGCCGAATTTGCCACTGAAAATAAAGGGAAGACCCAGCTGAGTATCAGACAAGGGCTCCAGTCTGGGGCCAAGACAGGCAGGGCAGGGGCCTCTCTGACTGTGAGCTAAGGAGGGTTCCCTGCCTCTGTCCCCATGTGGAAGGACAGCTAGTGGGCCTGATCCTGCCAAGCACAAGGCACCCCTGCTCTCAGTGACTTCAGGGTGCTCAACACCTCCCAGGATTGGGCCCAGCATGAACGCTGCCCTTTTACCATGCTTTGCACTAGGCTCTTGATGAGCATTAGAGATGCCTCTCTGAGCACCCAGCCCAGCTGCTCCCAATTGTGCAGCCCCGTGCCGGGTAAGGAGATGCACTGAGGGAGCTGCTGGAGGCTAATGGGCTGCACAGGGGCCCTGTGCTTCTGACTTGCCCTGCAGCACCTGTGTTACGAGCGAGGCTGCAGAAGGGGGAAGAGCCCTGCCTGGCTCTCAGACCCTGGGGCAGGATGCAGGGCTGGTGGAAGAAACCGCTTCTTCCTTCACATGATACAGAATCATTCAGAGCCCCACAACACCCCTTGTTACAGCCGCTTCTCAGGGCAGAGTGGCTTTTTAATGGGCTTGTTTCACAGCTGGGTGAATAGCACAGAGAGACTGCGTAACCCGCAGGGACCTGGAGCCAGAGCCACGCTCTCGCCAAGGCTTCCTGCAGCAATCGCTGTGCTCCTTGGGCATGACCAGGAAAGATGAACACCAGGGCAGGAGAGGCAGGGCCATGCACACTGGGAACACTGGAGGGAGCAGGGTGTGGGGCTGCTGAGCGCTTTTGCTTTGAGTTCACTTCTGTGGGTTTTTCTAGGCTAGGGAAGGCAGGTGGGGTGGGGTGTCAGCGTGAGCTAACATGCTGGCTAGCCCCAGTCCTCTTCCTAGTGCACATGCAGGTTTTGCCTCGATTTAGCTGGTCAAGGTTAACTCCAGGGGAGCCCTGGTGCCAACTGGTTCTGTCAGGTACATCACTGTTATTACTGGCTGGATGACAGCGGCAGGTAGGGGACACGGCAACTCGCAAAGCGCTGGGTTGTGGCAGAAGGGAAGGGCCCAGCATCTCCCAAAGTGCTGTGGCCACGACCAGGCTGGGCATGTGTGCCCTACACGGGGGTTCAGTGCTGGCAGAGGGGTTTGCAGTCAGTCTGTCGGGATGCACAGCTTCATGGTCTGTGCTCCCTATCTCCTCATCTTGGACTGGGGGGAGGGGCTGTTCAGCCTCCCCAAGACCCCCTTCCTGTTAGTACTGAATGTCTCCGCTCCTGTTGGAATGGCCTTGTCTCCCCTACACTTCTAGTGTTAGTGTATCAGCTCCATCACAGCTAGCCCAGGGATGTCTCCTCAAGCTGGAAATTACACCTCCTGCTCCAAGTGTAGACATACCCTGAGAACAGAGCAACCAGTGCAAACACTTCTGCCACCCTTCACTCACATCTGAGCATGGACGTTGCAGAAGCGAAATCAGCCAGATCCATTCACTGGTAGGAATCATGCACTCGACTCCCCTGGAGCCTCCTTCCTTATACTGGGCTGGGTTGAAGGAGCGCTAGATGAGCAAAGTCATTTACACTTCCCAAGGCTACCCGGAGGGCAGCGTGTGTGAGTGGATACATCCACACAGACCCCTGTGGCTGGATGCAGGACTCCGCTCGCCTGCTCTGGCTGCTGGCTCAGGACGGGATGTGCTGTGCTTGACTCGGAGTACTGCAGCCCCTGCCTTCCCCTACGCTGTGAGGGCAGAAGGGTCTCGAGGAGCATCGAGGCAGAACAGGCCCCAGAACTCTAGCCAGTGAAAGGCAGCTCCACCCAGTCAGCTACATACCTGCCCCCGCCAATCACTAGCAAATCTGCATCTCCTTTCAGGAAGAAAGTGTTGCTGCCTGTCCACTTAAACACCTGCAAGGAGAAGCAACCATTAGCAATCAGAGCAGTGGTGTAGGGACAGCTAATTACACCCCTTGAGTATCACCTGGCAGTGGCTTGCCATGACTGCTAGGGTCACCGGAGCAACCCCGCTCACCAGGAGCTACTTGGCCCAAAGTACTGACCAAGACTCAGCCTAGCGCGTCACTGATCCTCTCTGCACTGCGTTCACCAGCTCCCCAACCCTGACCAGCTCACCGTAAGACCTGGTGTGATGCTCTGTACTGCAAAGCAACATCCTGGCACCCCCACATTTACCATGGTGATTTAATTGTGATGTATCTTGTACAAAATATGTCATGTGAGGTGTCTAGGGAAAAGTTATGGTTTGCTGAGTATGGTTATCCTATTTGCATGCATGTTTTCATTTTTGTATATGAATATTGACTATGTATCTATTTCAAATGTGTTTTCTACTGGGTAACTCCCACAAGGTAGTTTACAACCAGTCTAACCAGCAGATTGTGAATGAACTATTCAAATTGATGGGTCATCAATGAACACAATGGGCCATAGAAGAAGCTTATCCCCACCTGATGGACCGTCCTGTGAACGTTCTAGCCAGAATATGGGTAATGGCCCCTGCTCTGACTCGAAGCATGCAAGGACATGTGACAGTGGACTCCATCTTGTGCCTGTACTTTTCCACTAACTTTGCTGGGGGCTTTGTTTGGAAAAATGAAGTTCCCTCCACATAGGAGAAGCTATAAAAGGGGGACGTGACATCATCGCTTAGCCTCTCCCCCCCTCACAACTCAACACCAGGAAACACCTCAGGGACAGAGACTGGACTGGGGAGGTGGTCCCAGGTGGGAAAGGAGGAATCCCAGCCTGTGTATAGAAGATTGATGAACTGTTTGTACCATCAGGATGAGCCGCTGCTTGATTCAAATCCTGGCTAGTTTATAGAACTTAGATTGCAATTTTGTTTTATTTCTTAGCTAATCTACATTGATCTGTAGACTTATTACTTATAATCACTTAAAAGCTATCTTTCTGTAGTTAATATATCTTTTTTTATATTTTAACCTAAAAACTGTGTGTTGTTTGAAGTGCAAAGGGAAATCTGCTTAGGAACAGAGGCTGGTGCATTGTCCTCTCCACATTGAGGGAGGGGCGACCTGGGTAATAACATACACTGGTCAGGCTTCTGACCAGGGCAGGATGGTACAGCTCTGGGGTCCTTGGCTCGAAAGCTGGGAGGAACTGGCTGAAGCCTCTCTATTGTTGGTTCATGGGTGGTTGGTGAAAGCATTCCTGTAACTCAGCTGGGTGTGTCCCTGACTGTGAATGTTTGTGTAAGGATAGGACCAGGATGGGTCTGCAGCTTGTCACAGCATCACAGTGAGAGAGGGAGCCCAGGCTGGTGAGACAGAAGGCTCAGCGGTACCCCAGTTCCAGGTTGCACCCCAGGGAAGTACGTCACACTTGGGGCGGAATCTTTTCTAGCTCTTCCAGCGTCCTGGTTAGCAAAATGTAGGCACGGGCAATAGTAAGGCTCCCCCTCCACTCTGTGTGGCTAGGGCAAGCAGCACCCCACAGTGCCCCTCCTCCCTGGCTGGAGTGGTAGAGCTCCTCCCCCCTGTTCAAGCTACTTTATTCTGCCTGCAGGGGGTGTTCTCCGGGACATTGCAGTCACCGCTGGGGCTGTGCAAAGCCACTACCCACAGCAGGCAGGCAGCGCTTTGGGGGAGCTGTGCCAGCCGATATCCTTGTTCCCAATGCGTCCCACCGCCTGTGAGTCAGCATTAGCCGTACTGCCATTGCACACAATTTTATAGTGACTCGTGATGTTTGATTTCTTCAAGCCCCAGCTCCTGGAGTCACTTCAGCAGCACATCAGCCTCTCAGCTCTCCTTAAAAATATGTCAGCTTTTGGCTGGGGAAAGCTGGTGACTGTGACCGGAATGCGCCCTCAGGCTCAGAAACCGGGGGGCAAAGAATAAGAACTGGCATTTGTTATTTTTCAGACTCTCATGATTCCCTGGGGGCTGACTCATGCCTTTGGGTCCCTGGGGCTGGCGATGTGTCAGGATGATGAATGCTACTGCTGGGGAGGAAAAGGGAGAGCCCCATTGGACTGCACCTTTGGCCAGTCACAAGTGTGTCAGCAGTGCTGGCCAGAGAACAGGTTCTCACACAACCACCTCATGTTCCAGTCCTGGTGACACTTCGTGCCAGGAGCCAGTATTTCCTGTGCCTTGCTTAGCAGAGGGTGCGCCAGGCCTATAAGGGGTTAAATGAGTAACTGCCCAGGGCTCTTCTTGGTGTGGACAATTCCCCTAAATGTTGGGGTGGAGCTGAACTCCACAGGGAGGGAATGGGGGCAGGACATGAGGCTGATAAGGTGCAGGGTTTGAATTAGCTGTGCTGGGGGCTGATAATTCAGTTCAGTGCTGCTGGTCAAAATGGCTTGTGGGAGGTGATGTGCACCGAGTTCCCCAGCCCCAGAAAAGGAGAAAGACAGAGCGAACTGGGAGGAGGAAAGTGGCCCTAGTGCAAGGAGAGGCTTCTCCTGAAATTTGGCCTGCATTAGCCACACCACCCAGCACTCAGCCCACATGTGATACAGCAGCCCCACCCCTGACCCAACACAGCCGTAGCCGCCGTACAGGATCACAAACAAAAACTCTCTTTGCTTCTGTGTTTGGCTTTCCCAGCGTGCGGCCTTAGGAAAAGGAGCTGATTTTGAAGTAAAAGGAAGATCTGGCCCCCACATGCAGGCAAGACTGGACTCCAAGGGGGAATTCACCCCTGTGCCAGAGCTGCGTGCTGGATTGTTCCCCACGGGGGCCTTGCTGCGGCTTATGGCACCTTCACGCTGGCTCTGCTGGCATAACGCTGCTGTAATGCAATGGGAATCTCACCAACAGAACAGTCTGCGCCGCAGTCGAGACGGGACTCTGTTTGACAGCCCTGTTCCCGGCTGCTTCCGGGTGAGGCAGCAACTGGGCTTGGTCGTTCCCATGTGTTATTACCCCCACGAGCCCAGCAAGCGTCCAAGTGAGACAAGCTGAGGGCCAAGGGCCTGAGCAGGTTGGGGAGCAGGAGATACCTGAATTCTGGACCAACACACCTCCATCCTACTGCGTTTTGTCTATGCTGCCTTGTTAGATCATTATGAAAACCAAGGACTTCCCAGTCGCTGTTTCCCCCTGCCCCAGCAACATCTGACGTACCACGTATTTGGGCACATTCCCCCAAACAAAACACTTGGTTTGCTGAGAATGAGGGTTTCTCCAGATCCCAGCAACACACTCACTAAAACACTAGGAAATACCCAGGTACATTCTTCCTGTTCCTGCCTGGGACACACTGCTCCTCCTTCACCCATCTTTCCAGCCCCTGTAGCATACAGCCCCCATGTCCCACACCAACAAATGTGCAGCCTGGAGGCCAAGCTCAGCAATCCAACATGGCAGCCCCCTGGAATGCGACTGCCTAACACAACACAAAACCTGTTTCACAGATGTTTTTACTAGGGCTGCTCAAAAATGTCCCATCAAAACTGTTTTTGATAGAAAATTGGATTTTCAAGCAAATGAAGTGTCTGCCTCTGTGGAAAATCTCAATATTTTGTTAGCAAAAAGAGGCGAAAATCCAAAATACCCTGGTTCAAAATACCACCACAGTGTCTCATGGGAGTAATAGTTCAGGTGCCCTATGCTCCCACCCTCTTCCATGGATAGGGCTCTCTGGCTAGACTACATCATGCATGATGCACCACTGCCAGGGACTTCTATGCACCTCCTCCCATCACCAAGCAGGGAGAAAGTAGTGCATTATGGGAGATGTAGTCCAGTCAGAAAACCCTGCCCATAGACTAGAATGTGAGCATTAGGCAACTGAACTGCAACGCCCATGAGGCACTGCGGCTCCAGTCAGAGTAGAAATTTTCAGTTTTCAGACAACATTTTTCACCAGAACGTTGAAATTTTCAGTGGGGGGAAAAAGTCTATTTTCTAAGCAGCTCTAACTATCACCTTCATGCACCAAACAGTTCCTAAAATCTTCCTAGTGGTTTCACAGAGCCACGTCGGTACTTAACCTGCTCCTAATCTCCCAACACAAAGCCAGAGTCCAACATAGTATGACAACAACAATCCAGCCCAAACTACTTTCCGCCTGCCCCAGAGCTACCACCCATGCCAGGCAATGCCAGCAGCATGCTCAGCATGGCACAGGCTAAGGTGTGTGTATGCTGGATGGTGAGGTGCTAGGGACAGAGACGGGCGCATGTACAGTGGGAAAGGGTGAGGAGGAACGTACTTGAGGGTATTTTAGCAGGCACTGCAGTAGGATTTGCACCTGGACAACCTTAGCTCTAAAGCACCAAAGGTGTTTTATTTGTGGGAGTGGCTTTCCCAGTTCTTAGTATGTACATAACAACAAGTATTCCCGTCCCTCAGCACGCACTGGCTACTGCTGTGTCCAGCCATCCTATGACTGGAAAGGAGAAAGATTCACCAAACCGCAGGTTACAGGCAAGCAAGGGGCAAACCTCAGCTCTGATGTTGGTGGGTGCAGCTTACACCAGGGCTGGAGCTGGCTGCAGCTTCTGATTTGATCAATCACCAAACTGGCATCCCAGGCTGGGGCTCTGCAGCAGTATCTGCTGGGGCTTGGGCAGCGAGTGTTGTGGGGGGAGTGGCGCATGCCTGTCTGGGTGACACCTACCTGGGAGGATTTGTCAGGACCTGAGAAAAGCATTATGGACTATTGGGATTTCTTAGGGCCTGGCCCTGCCCTCCCAGAAGTCAGGCGGAAACACCGCTGAAGCCAGCCAGGCCACAAGCCCTAGGGATTTGTAGGGGCCCAAGGAGGAGGTTTCCGCCCAGTTCTTCGGAGACACAGCTTCCAGAGGAGTTGTGCCTCGCAAGCAACGCCTGATTGCGCCCTCAGGAGCGTGGGTTAGTCTGACTCTGCCAGTCACTAGCAGGAAAGTCAAGTGATTGTCCATAATCAGAGCCTGAATTATTCAGTTACTTAATTCTGTTGTTACAATTAAGTCACTATTTAATGACTAAGGAGCGGAATTACTTCCTGGTAATTATTCCTATTAATTAAACGCTCCTACTAGGTAAAGGAGCCCTGAGGCTGGGACTGGCTTGGGGATGGGGTTACTCAGCCGTTTCCAGAGGCAGTGAGGAAGGAATGGCTGTGCCCTGCTGAGCTCAGGCGGTGCCTGCAGGTTGGGAAGGAAGCTGTCTCTGAGATGCTTTGCAAGGTCTGACTCATGCTGCTTCAATCAGCCACATGCCATGGACTTTGGGCCCGCCAGGCCTCCTCTCACCTAGGCTCCCAGGAGTGTCCTGGTTGAGCAGCCTGCTTGGTTGCAGCAGTGGGCACTGACGGGCATAGCAGGGCGGTCTAGGGCCTGCAGGTTTGTGTGATGTGCAGCAGGTTGCAAAAAGCAGCTGTGTGCATTGCAGGGGGCTCGGCCAAAGCCAAGCCCAAAGCCCCTGTATGAGGCGAGAGCGCAGGATGTGAAGGGGATGGGTGGAGCATGGATGTCAGAGGAGACATGCAGCTAACGATGGGCAATGCCCATTGTGCTAAAGAGGGGCTTAGTGACGTGCTCCCTTCCTCACAGCAGCAGCCTCTCGATCCCTCCACGCTCCCGCCTGCTCAGCACTGAGCAAGAGAAGTACTAAGGACTCATTTGGATGCCAGGCGGGCACTCCAGGAGGCACGGGACCCAGCACAGGCCCAGGGTTCCCAGGAGTGCAGAATGCTCTCCCCAGCGCTGGCTCAGCTCCCAGCATGGCTACCGGTGACACTCTTTGGGGAAGGAAGGTGGGAGCAGCTGACCAGCACTATGGGGCCTTTAGGGTGGAAGTGGAGGGGAAGTCCAAATCCCCCCCCCAGCCCATGCCCACAGAGCGGCTAAGTGACCCAGAGCTCCTGCTGGGGGTGGGGTGGGGGCAGAGCCACAAGGGCACACTGCTGGCAGGGAAGAGGAAGCAGAAAGGCTGTGGACTTGTCCTCCCCGCACATGATTGCACCCCCACATGCCCCTGGGCCTGCGCCGCACTTGGGCCTTGGCCAGCAAAAGCCCCCGTCTCCGCTCCTGGGAGAGAGTGTCACAGGCTGATTCCAAAGCCCCCCCACCGAGAACGTGAGCGTCGCTGTTACCTTTAGCTCCGGGGAGAAGGAGAAGAGAAAAGTCTCCCCTGTCCCATAAAAGCAGCTGCTGAGTCGGATGGTGGTGGAGGAGAAGGCTCCAAACGTCTGGAATGGAAGCAGAGGAGAGAAGATCACAGCACTGCCAGCGCTCGTGGTTTTAGCACACGTTTCGCTGTAATTGGGGTTTCCTTAAAGTCCCAGCTCCCCAAGCCCTGGGAGAATCTCAGCTTGCATTAGATACAAAACAAAGCCGGAAGGCAAAGAATCCAACATTTAAAAAAATCTCCTGATTTGTAAACCAATTGCATGAGTGATTTCTGGAGGCCTCACTCGTGATGTGCGACTGCTGGGGCTGTCAATTCTGCAGTTACCTGCAGCAGCAAGTAACCGGGGCAGGCCTGTTCACTGTCTTTACCTCTCCCAGCCATTGCAGCTCTCAGGGCAGGCTGTGTGTGCCCCAGCTCCCTTCCCAAATGCAGGATATCTAGGACCCTGAGGCTGCTGGAATGTGCACCCAGGCTTTTAGGCACCATTATGAACAGTTACCCCACAGTCACTACCCAGGCCAATCCATGGCACCACTGCCCCCTCCACGTCTCCACATCCCATGCTGGAGGTCCTGTGGGGAGGACCAGTGGCTCCAGGTTGTTTCACTCAGTGAGGAGGTTCTGTAGCCTGTAACCGGGGTCCAGCCAAGCTGGAAAGGGGCTGAGCAGACAGGACAAAGCCATCACTATCAAGTCTGAAAGGTGCCTCGCCCCTTGGATTCTCCCTCCAGCCAGTGCTGGGCTAATCCCTGACACTGGCAGGTGCTCCCTGAGGCCAGGTGTCTGCGTGCTACTCAGGGGCTGTGGCTACATGTACACGCATGCTCCGCCCACAGACCATTGCTGCTGGCAGGGCTGACACGTGGGACCTTGATTACCAGCAGCACAGGCTCTGACTGTGTGAGAAGGAGTGGCTCCATCGGCTGTGAGCAGCCGGCTGTACAGTTACCAGAGACAGCCACTGCAGGGAGACACAATCACACCCCAACGCCCACCATGGGCAGGGGACCTGGGGATGGGTCCAGAACAGACCCAGCCCCTTCCAAGGAGCGTTTTGGGGGCCAGACACAGGATGCAAAAACCGTGGGGAACTGCGAGTGGATCTGATCCCCTCCAACAGCTCAGCCTGGCCCAGGTGCACTGCAGGAGTTACTGGCTGTAGGTGAACTACAGAGAGCAGACGTTACCTTAGCACTTCCCCACGCCTGTACCCCACAGGCCCACAGCCTAAGCACTGCCCCTAGGATTGCTGGCCTCCTACCCCCTATGTCCCCAGAACAACAGGGTGCTACCCCACCACTACCAGCATGGGGGGAAGTCTGGTGAAGGGGTGTGCTGCGGAGGGAGGGGGGACAGCCGCAGGGTGCGTGTGTGCTGTAGCTGTGGGTGCGATATGGTGAGTGGGGGCGCACAGGGGATGAGCTCTCAGGGGTTAACTCCGTTTTCTCGCTGGGTTGGGGCTGAGCCAGGTGTGCGGAGTACAGAGCTGCCCATGGCACTACACAGTGGAGGGTTGGTATATTAACCAGCATGCACTCCAGCTCTGCATGGCCCCCTCACTCCCTACCTGGGTGGCACTGCTCCTTGGCTTGTGGGTACCGAGGCGTAGGGAAGATTTATGCCAGGTTTGGCTATCCAGGGCTAGATGAGTGCCATGTGCAGTCACCCCAGACCTGCCACCTGTGCGCGCCAGAGATGCTGGGTTAATTCCTCCACTTGTTTAACATTCCGGTCACCTCTGCCCTCCCTGGTTCAGCTGGGACAGGAAGTGGCGGTGCGGAAAAGGCTGGCATCTGGGGGTTCTCTCTAGTCTGGCCCAGTCAAGGAGGTGCTGGAAGGCCTGGCTGAGCCCTGAGCCAGCTGGGGGCATGTTTCCCCTTCACTGATTGGCTAAGTTCACTGTGCACTGGGCAGACCCGGGGAAAGGAGCATCTGGGGGCAGGGGACATGCCTAGGGGCAGGGCAAGGCTCCTCCAGCAAGGTGTGGGAGAAGACTAGGAGGAGAGGTGGGTCAGGGAGCAACACACGCCTAGGGGGCCTGGGAGGGATGTAGGAGGGGTCAGGTGGTGAGGGGAGACCAAGGACGGTGGAGATGGGCCAAACCAGCAGGGAAGCACTCTAGGGTCACAATGGATGTGGGAAGGGATGCTGGGGGAACTAGCAGGTGGAACATGGCGTGCTGGATGGCTCTGGGGATGGGGGGGCGGCAGGAGGTGCACAGACACCAGGACGCTATCGCTGGTAGCTAAGAGGCCCACCCTGCGATCCCTGGGACTATGGGAACTGCTTGCCACCCGCCTCTTCCCGGCGTGGCACTAGCTCCCTGGTGCCTGGAGCTGGCTGCAGGATCCTGCTGCAGTGTCTCTCCAAGTGCGACTGGTGCCCATTGCTGTGCAGCCTGGCAGCTAGCCTAGGCCCTGGGGCAGGACATTGCTGCTCATTCGCTGGTCGGCTTCTTTGTCCTTTTTCTTCTAATAAAAATCCAGACAAGGTGGTGCCGTCCGAGACGGACCAGAGGACGGGGGGCTGCTGGGTGCTCACTAGTGCCTGGCAGGAGAGCCCTGCTGGGAATGCCTGATTGCAAACAGCCCATGTGCTCCCCAGCAGTCGGCCAGCACCTCCCACTCCCCAGGACTCCGAATGCATCCCACAAGCCCCTCGGGCTGGCAGGCTGGAGCCCTGGGGCTGCCACGGACCCTACAGAGTGGGGAGAGCCTGGGGCTTGAGCATGCAAGTGAAGTTAGTGGCCCAGAAATTCAGGAGGTTTCACTCGCACCCTGGGCCAAGGCCGGAGTTTACAGAGAGACAGCAAAGGCCACAAGAAACCCTGGCAGAGCTCAGCTACACCACCCTGCTCTCCTCAGCTGTGCCCTGCCTGCCCCTGGCCTGCTTCCAGCATCCCAGCCCCCTTCTCTGCAGGCCCTAGCCCAGCACTCCCCACCCCGCTACTGAAAGGCCCCTCTGTTCCTACCAATGTATTGGCGTGGCTGGGTTTCTCCCCCCAGACCAAGGAGAGTGCTACCCAGGGGGCTCTGCCAACTAGCCCCTCCTGCTCTCATCTCTGCTCCTGAGGGAGCTCTCTCAGCTTTTATCTGTTTATGGAGAGTTTCCTACCAACTCTCTCCCTCACTGACTCAGCACCATGCCTTTCATTGCAGCCTTTGCCATGGCCCATGGATGCTTCCTGTGCAGTGCTGGGGAATTAGTATGTTTGTACAGATGGGTTGCCAGTGCTTTGTACTGGAGCCACCAAAAAGCTCTCCAGATGGCCCGGTGTGTTTGAACAGGACAGTTCTGCCTGCCACAGTCAGCAGCATCTGTACTCCCGCCGGTGTTTGCTCAGCAGCAGGCTGACAGTCAAATCCCATGTGATTCTGCAGCTGCCAGGTTACTCTTCAAGGCCAGCACAGAGCACACAGCCAGTTCAAAACAATGACAAGCGCCACTGTAAGGCCCCAGGTTGTGTGCCAGGCTGCACCAAGCATACTCTGCATTTCGGATCTCCAGTCTGGGTACTGGAATTCCTTAACAAACCCTTCTCGTTCCAGACCTGCCACTGCTCTGCTTAGTAGGGACAGCCCGGAACTGGAACTAACGGACGTTCCTTTCCGTTTCAGATCCAGAGGGGATCCGTGGGCTACAGCAGCATCTCTCAGGCTGTTCAGATTGGTGACCCCTTATTCAAAGTCAAAAACCTTCACAACCCACCCCTTTACATTAACTATAAAAGTAGGAGTACAAAGTGGACCAATGAGAACGTGCTAAGAATTTCCTGGGCCTGGGGCAGGTTGTTTCCAGGGGTTGGCAGAGGATACTTCCCCTGGAAGGGTCAGGGTGTGCGGGGACTGAGATTTTGTTGCTTTACCTTACAGTAAAATTTTCAAGCATCTCGTGCTTTGATTGCCTCGTGGCCCCAAATCGCATGTAATGACATTTTCTTTTCACAATTTCTCATGAAAAGTAATTCCCCCAGTCCGTGCCTCCCTGCCCCAACCCGGAACCAGGGCCAGGAGTGGGGCCACCAGGGGGGTATGCAGACAGGGGTAAGGGGGCTGAGGCAGGGCCGCAGCTGAGGGTGGGTCTGGGGCCAGGGGCCAAGGCTGGAGCGGGAGCAGAGCCGCAGCTGGGCCGTGGTGGAGGCTGGCAGCCATGCCTGTGGCTGGGTGCACCTCCTCCCCCACCCCCAGCCTCCGCCCCGGGCTGAGGGCTGGCAGATGGGCCCCAAGCCGGGTGCAGAGCCACTACAGGGCTGGGACGGGGTCCGGTGCAGGGCCGGGAGCTGGCGCCAAAGTTGGGGGCAGGGCCAGAGCAGACGTGGAGCCAGGGCTGGGTAGCGCGCCCTCCCCACCCCGCTGGGGCCCACGTCCCACAGTTTGGGGACCTCTGTTGTAGGGGTTTCTTTAACTCTCTACTCCTGGGGGAGTCTTTTTTGTTGTCTGTATTGCTGACAGGAAATAAATTACCAAAATAATTGAAACTGCCATGATTCTATGGTGTTATGGGGCCAGGCCAGCGCACTCGGCCGGAACCGGGGCTAGCGCCCCGGGGTCCGAGCCGAGCCGGGCCGGAGCCGCTGGGGCCAGGGCCGGAGCCGGGGGTGCTTGGCCGGCACCGCTTGGCCGGGGTCGGGCCGGCATGCTCGGCCGGAACCGGGGCCGTTGCCCCGGGGCCCGAGCTGAGCCGGGCCAGAGCCGCTGGGGCCGGCCGGGGCCGGAGCCGCTTGGCCAGGGCCGGAGGGAGCTGCTCGGCCAGGGCCGGACTGGGCCGCGCCGCGCCTCCCCGGAGCCCTCCTCCTCGCATCCCCCCCCGCCCCGCCCCAGCTTACCTGCTGCTGCCCGCCTGCCCCTGCTTGTTTTCAGACTTCCCGTGAACATCTGATTCGCGAGAAGCAGGGGAGGTGGAGGAGCAGGGGGGCAGAGCGTTCAGGAGAGGGGAGGAGGGGGAAGTGAGCTGGGGGAGGGGTGGACAGCTGCCGGGCCAGGAGGCGTGCTAAGGCTGCAGGGGATGGGGGGAGCCGGGAAAGGGCTTTGGTCTATAAATAGCCGACCGGTGGGAAATCCCGGACATTTTTAGATTTTTAGAAATTCCCCCCCGGACGGCTATTTAAAGAACGAAAAGCCGGACATGTCCAGGAAAATCTGGACATATGGTAGCCCTAGGGGGGTATGCCTGGGCCCAGAAGGGGGCTTACAGCCAGGAAGGGGAGCCAGGCTCCTGGGCCATACCCTGCAGGATGGCCCTACTGTGCAGGGACCAGAGTTGAGCTGGCCTGTAGCAGCTGGATGTTTCTCTCGCATGGGAACCCCAGCCCAGCGCAATGTACGATTCCATTTCCCTGGCCTCACCTGCCCGTCGGTATCTCGGATGACCAGCAGAACAGGAGAGCTCAGCTTGTTCATACTCCTGTACATGCTCTTCAGGCTAAAGCCATCCCTGGCGGTGCAGTAGAGCAGGTTCCAAGGGTACCCGGTCACTCTTGGCGGGAGGTGGGGAGCCAGCTGGGAACAGAGCCACAGGAATCAGTTCCCACCAGGGTCCCTGTCTGCTCCCTGACCTCTGGCAGGAGCCTTTCCCATCGGTCACTTCCACACCTCCCTCACCCAACTGCTCCCTGCTGTCTTCTCCTGGGTGTCTGGCTTTGGGCTGGATGGCACCCTGGGGGCTGCACGCACAGAGCCCTCCCCACAAACTTCACCTTGCCCATGTGTCAGCTCCAGGGCTCTGTCTCCCCCCTCATGTTCCCTGGGGGCTCTGCATGGAAGGGGCTCTGCTAGGGCTGGAGGGGTAGGCCGTAGGAGGGGAGAAGCAGGGCACAGGCTGGCTCATGGCATCATCTCCTACAGACCACCTCCACCCTCCCACCCCAGGACTTGTTAGTACCCCTGAGAGCTTTCCAGCTCAGCTGGGTCCCCTCCCAGCCTGGAGGGCCCCACCAGTGGTAGCACGGCCCTGCAGGCAGAGCAGCATGGGGGCAGAGGAGCGGGCTCCCCCCGTTGTGGCTCATTAGGGGTGGCCCAGCCAGGCCTTTCCCACACACATGCTCCAGGAAGACCAGACCCTACCCCCAAGGGGACAACTTCCAGGGGCCTCAGTGAAAGGGATCTGCAGGGGTCATCTCCCCCTCGCCTGTCCCAGCCAGGGCTTCTCCAGAGGAAAGTGATCTGCACAGAGAGCCCAGCCCAAACGGCTCCTGGCCTGCTGGCATCAGGGTGAAGAACCCATGCAGCTCCAGGGCAGCAGAGATGTTGGGGTAATGTTTGCCAGAGCGTTCGCAGTGTGGGGACGTGGAACAATCCCACTGACCCAATCCCAGAAGGGGGAACCCCCAGAACGGGGTTTGCCCGGGACATCACCCCTCTCGGTGAACATGCCCTGTGGTCCAGGCCTGCCCTGGAGCTGGTGGAAGGCTATTCACTGAAGGGAGGAATGAGGGGTAATGGTCAGGTCGGGCGAATGATTTATTAGATGCATTTATTGCTCATTATTATTATCGTTTGGCAACGGGGCTCAGCTCTGCGGGGTGCCTGGATACGTGGCTCTGTGGACTCCACATTTGCTGTCTCTCAGTGCGTCCGTATCAGGTCTTTGCCTCCTTTCACAAGTACCAAGATGTACTCTCCAGCTGCCAGGCGGCAAACCCCTGGGCCCTGAGCCAGATGGGGCTGGTCCCTGCTCACCCACCCTCACCAGTGACACACTGTCTCTGGGGCAAATGGTCCCCTGAGGCACAGGGCAGACCTCTGGAGACAGTGGCGTTAGAAGCGTCGCACTGGGATCCCCAAGGTCCGAGCTGGCCCAGTGCTGGTGCACGAAATGCCCTTGCAGGCCCTGTGCGGTGAGCCGATCCAAGGCTACGAACCAGGGAAATGACAGCAGGAGCCCACGGCAGCACTGCCCAGCCTGTTTCCAAGCTGCGGGGGCCAGGCTGGCAGGGGAACGAGTTCCATGCCCTGGAGTGCCCACCGGAATGGCTCAATCCCACTGAGGAGCTGTCCAGAGGACGGGGTGGAGGGGCCAGCACCAGGCCAGAGGAGGTTCTAGAACTGCCAAGCACCTGGCCACAGCCTGACCCAGTGAGGTTACCTAGCCCTGCAATGGGGTGAGCCCGCAGCCTGCGCTGAGCTCACCTGCTGGACCTGCCCTGCATGCAGGACGTTGCTCTCTCCATTCAGCACCGGCTGGTAGGGCTCCTCTGGGGGTGATGCTGTCACCCCCGTGCCTGCCCGGCCTGGCTCCTCCTGCTCAGCAGTCTCGACACACTGCAGGGGCTGAGCTTCCTCCAGGCAGCCAGTCTGGGGGGAGATGCCCACGCCATGTGGGGAAGAGATAAGGGACCCCAGCACAAAGAGCAGCACTTCCCCCTTGGGCCCAGCCACGGCCCTCCTGGCCATCCCATCCGGAGAGTGCTGGTGCACAGAGAATGGGCTGGCATCACCCACGCCCTGCCTGGTGAGCCCTTCAGTAGAAGGGGGCATTTTAAGCCCACTGGGCAGGGTCCAGTCTGTGCCTCTCAAGGGCCCAGTGTGTGGTTCAGACCCTAGGCAGAGGGGGCAAAGGTGGCTTTTAGCTTCCCTAGGTCTGAGGAGATCCGGGACACAGCACTGCCTTTGGAGTGATAGAGAGGAACCCCAGGGCTGCTCCACAGCCCAGAATAGCTGAAACACAAGTGCCCGCCTCCCAGCCCAGCCCCGCCCCACCCCACCCTCTTATCACTGCCCTACACTGGGAACTGTGGGAGTGAGGGGCATATAGGGCTGTGTGTTGGGCCAGTGCTCTCCCTTTGTATGGTCCCTTTCTGTTCCTGGCACAGAATAAAGAGGCTGCCAGACCCGCCCCTCAGTCTGGGACTGGCTGCCATGTCCCAACTCCTGGACTTGCCCCACTAACCATGCTCTGTTTCACTGTGTGCATGGATCCCGAGGGCTCAACGCCAACTCTGTCCAGTGCAACAGCTTCAACAGGAGACCTTGAGGGAGCCCCACATGAGAATACCCCATAGCCCTTCTTGCCCTCAGCCAGCACAGGAGTCTCCCACACTCCAGGTGAGTGCCCTAACCACTAGGCTAAAAGCCATGCTGGAGGCCTGCTCCCCAGCTTCTTGCTAACAGCATGGGCACCTACTGCCAAGTGAGGGTTTGCAGCTGAGAATTGCAAGCAGAGAGAGGGGCGGGGCTTAGCACACACCCTTCTTGTTGGCCTCTCCCATTGGATAGTTTAGGTGGCTTCTCGCCTCCCCTGTTGGCTTTTGTGAATTGCATTGTGAGACACCTTTGTCTCCCCATTCATCACATAGGGAGCCAGGTGCATAATTCTCACTCTGGGAATCTCAGCATTGTTCCTGTGATTTTGTTACACTTGCTGGCACCCTGCACACAATGCTTAGCTGACTGCTGCCCTCTGAGAACGTGACACCTGCCCTCACCCTCACGCCCCCAGGCTTCGATAAGGGGCTTGCTGCCAGCATTCACCAGGCTTTGTATTGCCACTGGGCAAACTGCCCACTGCTGCTCAGGTGCTTCTGAGTACAACTCAAATGCAGGATGCGGACACCCAGGGGACCCATGGGCAATCTTGATCCTGGCATTTTCTGGCTTTTGAGTGCCTGACTTGGCAACTTTAACAGTCTTTTAACATGGTTTTGGGGGCATAATTTCCTAATTTTTTTAAGACAACCCCCCCCCCCCCAAACCAGAAATTCCCTCATATTGACCCCCAGTTTGGGTCAGCAGCAGGGCTTAGGTCTTTTGCTCCACAGCACAGACCTCTGATACTTGAGCTACCAGAGGAACCGGTAACAGCAGCAGTAGGCTGTTAACCTCTGTGTGGACCAGAGGAGGACAAGTGAGTTTCACAGCTATTTGCTGACAGAAGAGGAAGGCTGAGACTCCTGGGTTCTATTCCAGGATCTGTAGGGGACTGTGATCTAGTGGTTGTAGATCCCTCTACTGCTGTTTCCCTAGCCTGTCTCTGCTCCTCCCTCCTCCCCTTGTGCTCCTATCCACCGCTCCTGCCCCTCCCCCTCTGCTCCTGTCCCCCAGCCACCTGCTCCCATCCCCTGGCTTCTGCTCTCTCTGCACCTATAGAGCTCTTAGCCCCATGACTTTTCCCTACACTCCACTCTGCTCCTATCCCACCTGCCCCACCCTCTTCACCCTCAGCATCTATATACTCCCCGTTTCCCTCCCACTCTGCTCCTCCCACACCCCTGGGTCCTGCTCCTGGCCTCCCCTCACCCCATTCAAATGTGGCTGGTTCCTCCTGCCCACCATGCTGCCTGGGCACTGGCAGAGGGAGCATTGAGAGCACCGGAGACACTGGCTCCCAGCTCAAAGTTCCAGCACTCAGCACCATGGTGGCCTTAGCAGCTGTAGGGGAACAATTGCAGGGAAAGCCCACCTCAACGTCTGCAGTCCTGGGATGGCGCCTGCTCAGTCATGCTGGAGATGGCGCCTGTGTAGTTGGCACTTAGGCACTTTGAGGGAATGGAACATGCTCAGTGTAGACAGAATCCTTAGAGAATTTAGCTGCCAAACTCTAACAAGTCTCTAATGAGCATATGCAAACTGAGATTTTTTCATAGTTTTATAACTTGACCTAATTTGGGCAAATACTCAGAACAACAACAAAAGGCACATACCTGTCACCAAGGTAACAACCCCATCAAATACACACCAGATTTCAAGGCCATGCTCTAACTCATGGAGGCCCCAGAGAGTCTCAGTTAAACAATTGCAAGAATATTTTTAGTATGGAAATTTCCCCCCCTCAATCTTATTCTTGGACATGGCTGGACCATTTTAGCTGAAAGGTTTTTTTGTTTTTAAATCAGCCTGAAGCAGAGACCTGAGAACAGTGAAAGTGTTGAACAGCCTTTACTACAGGTGGCACTAGCAGCTGCGCCTATTAAACATTTATATGACACTATATGACCGGCTGTGACAAGTACTTGGACATTGCATAATTGTCAGGCATCTGCAGAGTCTGGAAGGGCCAGTTATGAAGGGAGTGTTTCCTCTTTGGTATAGTTTTCCTGCTCAATATTACACAAGAGATTTCAACCCTAACAGATCTAAGGCCTCTTCACAGCACTTGTGCCACATGAGTTAGGCAGAAATCACTGCCCAGCGCTGTTTTCCCCCAGCTGGGATAGTTGGTCAGAAACTCACCTTCACTCCCTGACTCAGGGGAGTTCCCATCCCCATAGAAAAGGCAAACAAATAAACAAGGGAAAAATTGCAGGACGCATAGATCAGATCTCCTAGAGTCACTAATACCTGCCCAAGTGAAGACTCAGGGCCCAGCTGGACTATGCTAAAGCCTGAAAGCAGAGTCAGTTGCTTTCCTGACTCATCTTTTCTCCTTGCCTCAGCATTTCCTTCTTGGGCTACTTGCAAAGCAACTCTCTTTCTGCACTATATTAATGAGAACCTGCCTCCCCAGGCACAGCTCTCTCCCCTTGCCTTTGCACGCATACTAGGAGAAAACACAGTGAAGGATGGACAGAAAATCCCACGGGCACCAGGAACAGAAAACAATTAGCAAGCAGCAGCATTTTGCACCTCGGCTGGGCTGCTGAAATCACATTTTGTTCCAGGCAGAGGCCCGAGCCCTGGAGCAGTCAGGCCCTGTGCCTGTCACAGTGAGAAGCCAGCACCCCTGGCTCTGGGACCCTGTTGATTCACATGCAGGTCAGAACCAGTGCTGATGTTTGGTAAACAGAGCTGGAGCTTGTCAGAGCCACATTGTCCCTGTTTGTTTTGATTGGCCTTGCCTGGCACCCAAGAATCACAATTTATAAGAAAACGGATCAGATTACATTGGGCAGCCGGCTGTGACTAAAAAAGCAGGTGGCTGCTGCAGGCTGGGCCCTTGGCCAGGGGAGCTGGGCCCTGTCTGCATTAGAGACACGGCACAGCTGAAGTGATACTGATAGTGCAAACCCCTAATATAGACACATGACATGGATGTGAAGTGGGGATCAGCCCAGTGCAGGTGAATCTGGTAAATTACCAGGGTCTATCACACCATCATCCCCCTTTCCATTGAGGCTACATCTACACTGAGGCTTGCACCAGATGCAGTGAGAGCAGGACAGATCTCTGTAACTAACAAGCACCCTTCACTTTCCATATTAAAGGGGAGGAAGAACAACCCAAACATTTATACCCTGTGTTGGCTGTCAGCCAGGGCACTCTGCCTGTATGTTGTATTGCTTTCTCCCCTTTGTCTGTTCTTTTCCGTCTGCAGTTTCCGCGAGACAGCGAGAGTGTCTCTCATGTGTTTGTGCAGCACCCAGCCTGCCGCCAGTGCTGCTGTCATATCAGTAATGGAGAGTTGCAGGTTTGCAGGTGCACAGTTCAAAGCCAGCACCGGGATTTAGAGATGGGCCCAACCCTCTAACTCAAGCTCTGGATCTCAGCTCCTGTAGCCCAGGGGTGTTTGGAGCTAGATTGAGTTGACTGGATCTGGTTCCCCCAAATCTGGGGACACTTGGATCCAGGGTTTTGGGTCAGGACTTTCTCCAGTAGGAGTAACACCAATCTGAAGGGTAACAGCCTGTGCACACTGGACAAGGTCCCCTTGTTAAAATCAATGCGATCTAGCTGGTAACCGATGCCCCAGCAGCAGTAAATCTGAGCTAGCGTCATTGCACCATCTTACAGCTGGACCTGATCAGCCTGTTTCAGAAAGGAAAGAAGCAAGTTACGGAGCACAGCTGCCTGCAGTTTGGTCTGAGTTTCAGCCCCCATCTGTCTCCCCTGGGCACACGCGGTGTGGTACATACCAGGAGAGTGTAGCCGCCGCGGAGAGCTTTCATGGTGTGTGGGCGAGTCCTGCAGCAGGTGCATGGAGCTGTGCTCACTGCTGAGAGCTGCCCAGGGGAGGGGAAAGCAGGTGCCTGCCAATGGCCTGTTGAGAACACTCCCATCTAAACAACACAGACTTTACTGCTTCCCTCTATCTGAGCTCTCCCACCTCCTGGTACAGCAGTTAGCTCATCAACCGTGGGTAGCCTCTGCTGGTCAGGGCCCCATTGGATAGCATGTGCCTGCAGAGGGTTTACAAGACAGATCAAACCCCTCCTCTCCAATTGGAAAAAGGAGTTTAAAGGGCTTTGAACTCTTTGTAACTGTACATGAATGTCTTCCTGATGGTGGTCTCAAAGAGCTCTTCACAAAACTGCAGCAAAATTGGGTTCCTAATCACAATGCTTGTTCCCTCTATTGCATGCAGCTGGCTCTGTTATTGTAGGGTCTCACATGGGTACTGACCTGAGCACCCTGCTTTGGTATTGGAGGACTGGTTACATGTACTTTCTTACTCAGGTTGCTTATGAATGCTGAAGGTGGGTTTACTTTTTTAAGGAGAAAGAAGTGGTTGAAACACTGGGGTTTGGTTTAGTTCTGTTTTTTAAAGGCATAAGAAATACAGCAAGTCTGCAAACGGAATTAGAAAGTGAACCT